TTGGTAGTTGTTCTTCTAAACTTTGCCCTTGAGAAAATGTGGAATCATATCCTTTTACGTCTGTTTTTCTGTGCCTCTGATATTCTCTTCAGCAGCTGAACTGTCTCTAATGTCTTTTCTATTTCTTCTCAATACTGGTCCACCTGATCTCAGTATATATTATCTAGGTGTCTTATATACTTCTTCTACAATTGCTGGTTTCCAGCGATTTTCTTGATATACCCTAACACAATCTCCTTTATTTAGCGATGGTAATCGTTTTGTATGTGATCATAATAAGACTTCTGCTTAGTTCTTTTTTGGTTTATTTTTTCTTTTACGTTTTTCACAACTTGACGTTTAAGTAATGTAGGAAGAATCGTTCTTGTTCTTGCAAATTCTTTACTTGCAAAATGAGGTCCATTATCAGATATCACTATCAATGGTATACTGCAGAGACGTAGCTAGAGTTTCCAGCGCCCGGGGACAACTGAAGAATTTGCGCCCCTTGCTGTGTGCCAAGAAAAAATAAAATAAAATATTCCGTAAATTTTGTCTTAATTTCACTTAATTTAATTTCTTTACATTCTTCTATAGGAAATGTATTATATATTTCAAGACCACAAATTCCAATTACATGAAGAAAAGTATTAACTCTTACCTTCTCTTCTTTATTTATGTAGTCCACTAGCTACTTCATATATTTCGAATGATTGCAGCCATCTTTGCCAATTTGAAGCAAGATTTCCATCAAATTTCATCAGCTCTGGTGATTTTAAACTTTCCATTTTGAAAGCAAAATACTCCTGACACCATATAGAATAATGAGGGTGCACTTTTAGTTTTTCTAAACTATTTATTTATAATAATAGAATGTATAATATTACAGAGAACTGCAATACCAGCAGAGTTCTATTTCATATCTGTATCCAAAGTGTTGCCAATTACAAGTTACTAAATATTAAATGTTGCCATTCAAAATTATTAAATATTACAGTTACCATGGATATTTTATGCATCTGAGTTTTTTACATTTCTTACTGGTATTATGTTGGTAGTGTAGCAACGCAAGGTACGTTACAGTCTTAATTAGTTGAATACCTGCCAGTCTGAACAGTTTAAAAATTTATCTGTCAAATTTTAATATTTAGCTGTCTATTTGAATTCAAAATGTGACCACCTTAAATTTCTTGCAGATACAAACTTTTAGTTTTCAACCAAGATATAAGTATAAATTTAATATTTTTCTTTGCGCTATTTTTATTTGTTCTTACAAATATCTAGTAAAAAGTTTTTTTTCAAAATTGTTTGTAAAAAAAAAAAAAAAAAAAAAAAAAAAAAAAAAAAAAATTTAATCGTCCTTTTTTTTTGTTTTAAAAAAATCGTCCTTTTTTTTTTTTTAATTGCTGCCCTGCATTTACTTTCAAACTGTGCATTTTTCGTGTGCAATGTAAGTTCGAAACCAAAGTTGTGTAAAGTATTGTTTATGTAGGTCTTCTTACATTGTAGCAAAGGGCCATAAAATTTATGGAAATGAGAAAGATAGTCGTATTGTATTTTATATCTTTCCAAAGGACAGTTTGCTTTTGGCGGAAAAAATGGGTATATGTGTTAGAACCCAGCCTCAGTGATTATCTTTCTTTCATAGTTTGTCACTGTAAGATTGGCAACCATGTGAGCTTTATTGTAGTTCTATGGATTTTGAAAATAAATATGACGCTTTGGAATTTTATATGTAAAGTTATTTTATTTTAAGTTTATTAGGAGAAAGGAGAACAGTTAGTTTTTGCAAATCTCGAACAATTTTGGTGACGATGGAAGTGATCGGTAAAACAAGTCAAGGTAATTTTATTGGTTTTATTGAATTTAATTCTATTTGACTTTATTGAATTTATTTTTATTGAAATGGAATCATTAATTGAGAAACGAAAAACCTGTCAGAGCGTCTTTTACGAGAACAATTAATGCGATTTTGCAGGAATTAGAAAAGGAAATTCCTGATGAAAAATCTGTAAAAATGAAACTTGTTACTTTAGAACATTTATCTGTTGAACTTAATGCAGTTGCTACTCAGATAGTAAATTCGGAATTTTCTTCAAATGATCAGTCTGAAAGTGAATGGGCGAAAGTTGGAGAATACAAAGAAAAATTAGATTTAATATGAGTAGAAACGGAATTATTCTTCTTAATAATACAATCTACAAGCAGTGTACAGCCGAATTCGAACAAATGGAAACTGAAATTACCTAAAATAGAGTTAAAACAATTCGGTGGTGGAATTAAAGATTGGTTACCATTTTGGGGACAATTTTGATGAATACATGAAGATAAAGAAATTAAAACGAGGATAAGATGTGTTATCTCGTTCAAGCGACCGTACCCAGTATGAGACCACGTGATATTGTAAACAGCTTCCCTGCTTATTGCCTCTTGAGCGGAATTGTGCATCACTTCAAAACATGCCTGGAGTCCTTGAATGCACTTCTCAAGTGATGAAGGTATATCTGAAGGGCAACCGAATAATAGATCACAAGGCAGACGAACGTCGCAACTGAAGAGCATCTGGGATGGGGAATAACCAGTAGTTTCATGAACAGCATTGTGATAGGCCAGTAAGAACAAAGGTAACTTTTTGTCCCAGTTTGATTGGTTTGTGGAAACCAAAGCAAGAGGTTGCAGCAGAATAGTTTTTTTAAGAGCCCCTTACCAAGATTGATACCACTTTTGTACATCTCCCTTGCATTGCTGCAGTAGAAATGCTCTCGAACTCTGTTCAAAGTATTCATTATTCCAAAATAACCTCCTTTAGTGCTGCTATGAATTCTTTTTAAGGACGTCTGGAATCTTGGAAGTGTCAGCTGCCATCACAATGCATTTCCTTCATCTGAATCGAACTTCTGGTACAAGACGCCGTTTCGCATATGGAATGAATCTTAGAGAGCCCATTATTGTTTTGCTGTTGGCTGTAGATCGAAATATCCTGGCAGGTAGGTTTCCTCTTAGAAGATTCCATTAATTCAATTATGGGTTTGATGTCGCTGCCTTCCAGCTGGTCTTTCCTGACTTCTTTGTCACTCCATGAGTCTGGGTCAGACGATGTTGAATTCATTAATGTGACATATGATTGGAGGATGCAGCTCGTATTTCGCTTCTACCCTGGAACAATTTCGCCGGATTTCGGGGCATGGTTTTCTAGACAGGGCATCATCATTTCCATGTGATGATCCTTCTGATGACGGATCATTATGTCATATTCCTGGAGTCACTGTATCCACCTAGGTATTTGACATTCAGGATAGTAGGGGACATTTAGACGTTTGGGATTCTTGCATTGTAATCAGTTTCATTGATGGTTTTGTACTTGAATGTGAAGACCACCGATATGACACTTTTTCTACCTCAGAAAATGGTGTCCATGATTTTGCTTGCTGAACTTTTGCCGGGTAATTGAGGTGGGTTGCTTATTCCATTGATTGTTGTTTTCATAATGGCACAACATGGAAAATCTTAGATCTTATTACCTGTGACAATGTGGTTCAATGGGTCATTCTCCTAGGCATAGTATCAGCTTAGAAAGGTCAAAACAGCTGCAAATTGTTAACTCTTATGCTATTTTTTAAGCATTTTTGATGATCACTTGCATACACCTTTTGATAGCCCAAGTGTTCAGTAACAATTTCATTTAGAATGGTACACGTACCTACAGGAAACACTAATGAAAAATTGTAAATCGTGAAGCATCTGTTAGCTCAAATTTTGGGATCGACTTGACGAATTAATTCATACACAGCAGATGGGTGGCTGCTTCTCAATTCATCATGCATGTTCATTTTGCCTGGATTTCACAATAATACCCATCTTTTAATCATTCCCTCACAGCTGTATCACCATACATTTCACAAGCTTGCCTATGGATTTTACATGGTTGCATATTCCATGCATTTAAAAAAAAAAAAAAAAAAAAAATTACAGACCACAGCCAGCAGGAATTTCACAGCAAGATCTTCTAATAGTCTTAAACATTTTTAATGAAAGATCTACACGTGTCAGCATTTCACCCTACAAACATTTTTGTTATAACATTCTTAAGACACTGAAGTTGTGATGACAGATTAACACCATCTTCAAATGCAGTAATTATTATATTCTGAAACTTACTTTCCAGACAACCTTTGTATATTAATTTGTAGGGTGTGGTCTATCAGAAAGTTAATCAGTGTGAAAATAACCAGTAAAATCTAAATAAACTGTGTATCATACATTCTTGAATTAGAATTAACATTTGCAAGCCATTCATGTTTTGGAAAAATTTACAGTACCATTATTTTAGATTCAGATTTCCATTTCATTGGATGATGTCTGCATATATTATGTAATATATATACTACAGACATTTTTCTTCATTAAGCAGCACATCAAAGAAAATCCTTCAACAGTGAAATTTTTTCTTGGCACTGACAGGCAGTGGAGGGTAATTTTACATAGCTTCAAGAGATGACTCTGTGTGATGTTCTATCAAAATTTAAAATTCTCATTTGAATTGTTTAACAGAATTACTTAGAGTATTTCTGTAGAAAATTGCATTAGGAAATAGCATAAAAATTATTTAAATGTTAAAATAATCTCACATCGAAAGAACAATAGCAATTAAAAAGTAATAAATAATAAAAAATCTGATATTTATAAAAAGTCCTTTGAATCATAAATAGAAAATTTCTTTAAATTTATGAAAATTCATGCTGTAATAAAGTTACTGCTGTAGTTATGACAAAGCATGATAGAGCTATCTGTGTAAAAAGATAATTGCCTTTGTGGAGGACTCTTTTAAGAAAATTTGCTTATATCCACATTACTCATAAGAAACATTATAAAATACTCATACAAAAAATGTAGGATTTAAATGGGAATCACATTACCTGAGTTCAATTGTCTTATCCACTTGGTTCTAACATGTGGAATTTTAAGTAAATTATTGTTCTATAGATATCATAATATATTTTCTTTTCAAATCTCATATATAGTTAATGGTGCTGGACTTGCAATGGCTACTATGGATATAATCAAACTACATGGTGGAAGCCCAGCAAATTTCTTAGATGTCGGAGGCGGTGCTACATCACGCCAGGTTACTGAGGCCTTCAAACTCATTACATCAGATCCAAAGGTATTTAGCCCATTTCACATCACAGAATTAATAATAATTATCTAATAAAATCAAAGGTAATCATGTAGTACATGATCTACCACCTTTTAATGAGTTATTTGTTTTAGGTGGCAACACTAAAATTGATTGTTGTTCTAATCATTTGTTTCCCTGGTCATTTGATCGCACATTTGAACTTAAAAGTAGCACTGCAGTGGTGCCATCTAAGAAACAGATACTAACTGAATATGGTAGATTGCATACTACATTATAACTAAAATCAAAAAGTCACGTCTGTGCATTTGTTTAATAGAAAATTTGTTTCTTGGTTTCTTTTTGTTAACATTTCAGTCAATAGATAGGCTTCATTCTCTAAATTTAGCCAAGACCATGATTTTTTAGCTACCTTTTTGATAATCATGCTTGTTCTTGTATAGGCACATGCTTCTTTTATTTATTTATTTATTGGCATCTGCAGATGAAATGGAAAACTCTGTTTAATTTTTGAATATATAGTCTTGCAAATTTTTTCATGTTACAGCAATTCCATTTCTTTTTAGTTCTTTGGCAGTTTTTTTTGTTACAAAATCCTTACGACTCGAGAAGTGTTAACTTTTTAAGTGTTAACATTTTTCATGAACTCTTAAATTACATTACCAGGGCATTTATGATCTCTGCAACATGATTGTGGCGACTCTGTAATCTTGTGTTGTACTCGCTAACCGTGCGCCGTTATCACTAACTGTAACCTAAGGATATTTCGGCGGCAGACAATCATGTCTCATCGTCGGGGCGGTCGGTCGCTCGTTTTCCTCCAACGTGATTGTCTGTCAACTGTACTAATTAAGTTTTACTATTGTGATGTGATTAAATGTTTTTGTTATCTAAAAATTGGCTCTTATGGCATGTTATGAATTCATCCTTAAAAGCACTGGTAAATTCCAATACTCATAGTTTGTTGTTGCACACAGCCGCAACCACGTGACACAAATGGTGACTTTAGGACAGTGAGGCTTAAGCCATATCAATCGTCGAAATTTATAGTACATCAGAAATTTTGTGCTTAAACAAGACCTTGTAATAATGTGCGAAATGCAGCTGAACCAAAATTTTTTACTTATGTGTATTGGATTACTTATCGTGTCTGTTGGATCGTGCATTAGTCTCATCATATTACAGCCACATGGATTACCTTCATGTTTCCATTTGTGATCATCTTTCAGACATGCGGATTACCTTCATCTTCCATTAGTGATAGTGTTCCAACATCAAGCGAGTGGATAATTTCTGTAAATCAAGGTAATATTTTCTACCTATTATTCCGCACATGGATTCGTATGTATTCGTGAAGCGGATGAGTTTTTCCTATATTTCTCATTTCTGATCATTTACCCAGGTCCTAACATTAATATGTTTTCTTCACGTGTACTGCAGCAATTTCTGAATAATGTTTTTTTATCTGTATTATTATATTATTATGGCTACCTCTTTTCCAAAATAAGACACTGTCTTACTTTCTTTTTTGGTCCAAAATACGCGCTAGGGCTTATTTTCGGGGAAGGGCAAAAATAAAAGTATATTTATATATTTTTTATTTAATATTTATTTTACACAGAATACAGAAATTTAAATTTATTCAATTACAGTCATGTCATCTTCTTCTGGAACATCGTCATAAATAAAATTCTGAATTATATTCTGATTTTTCTTCCAAATCCATTTCCTGTTGAATCATTGGTCCGAATCTCTCATGTCTTGCGATATAGCTATCGTTAAATGAATACTTCTTGTCTAAGTAGCCTGTTCATAGTGCATTGGAAACATCACTATCAGTTATTTTGTCCCCTGAATTTTTTACCCAATTCACAACTTCTTGTAAGCCTGGTTTTGCAAAATTACCTCGATGATTTCTCACCATTCTGTTTTCAATATATTCATTCATTTTCATCCGCAAATGATCCTTGAAAGGCTTGTTTATTGCAGTGTCAAGTGTCTGGAGGTAACCAGTCATTCCTTCCAAAATATTATTTATTTTTACCCATCAATCACCCCTTTTGATTTTCAACTCATTCTGTGTCTATTGGAAAAAGGTCGCTTTGTCGTATGTGTCTCGGGGGTTACGTTTCAGCCCAAATTTCACCCCAACGAGAGTCTGCCGACGCTAACAGATGACGATGCCTTTCCTGTGGACGTATCTCTCTCGGGGCAAACGATGAACTGGTTAAGATAAATTCCAAGAATTAATTTGAAATGAACTGTAGAGGTAAACAATTAATTTCTTGGAATATTTTGTTTCAAACATTTCTCTGAAATACGAGTATTAGAAAGCAATTATATTAATAAATCAACAGTTTTTTAACGAATTTTTGTTTTTTTAACTAGGGATATACAAAAAGTTCGACTCAATTTGGGGTTTTTTCAAAAGACCGTACTAGCGATCCTCTAGCCACTGATGACAAACAAATGGCTCGCGTTGCTGTGAAACCTGCCCCATTTTGCCGTAGTGACCCCAACCTTTGGTTTTTTTTCAATTAGATGCACAATTCAAGCTCGGGGGTATAACACGCGACGACACGAAATTTTATACTGCAATTTCCGCCCCCTCGACACTGAGGTTCTTCAGTCAGTACGCGAGATTGTTCTGAAACCCCCCTCGGATAATAAATACGAGGAATTGAAAAATAAATTAATTTCAGTTTATGAGGAGTCTGAAAACACCAAACTAAAGCAGTTATTACAAGATTTGCAACTTGGTGATATGCGCCCATCCCAGTTATTGTCAAAAATGCAGGAGCTTGCGGGTGACAATTTTAAGTCCAATGTTTTACAATCATTGTGGCTCAATCGTCTCCCGAACAATATCCAAGCTATTCTTGCCTCCAGTAACGAGAACCTGGCCCAAATGGCAGACAAAATTCATGATGTTCTCCAACCACAAGCAATCAGTCAAGTTCAGCATCCCAGTGTTGATATTTCATCTCTTCAACAACAAATCCAGGAATTATCATTGCAGGTCGCAGCCTTACAGACACGATCTCAGTATCATCCGCGCGGTAGATCAAAGTCCCGGAACCGAAATAATAGGGAATACCAACGCGCTCATTCTGGTACTCAATCAGACATTTGTTTCTATCACAGCCGATTCGGTGATAAAGCGCGCAAGTGTACACCTCCATGCAAATTTCAGAAGACCTCTTTAAACTGAAGGGGCCGTCACTCGAAGCCATGAGTGACAACGGCCCGTGCATTAGTCGATTGTTCGTAACAGATAAACCATCAGGCAGACGTTTTCTTGTTGATACAGGTGCTGACATTTCGGTTGTACCTCCCTCTTCTTGCCGAATCCAAACGGCCGCCTGGAAAATTTAACTTATTTGCAGCTAACGGGTCAAAAATTGCAACATATGGAGAAATATTAATGTCTTTGGATCTAGGATTGCGTCGCAAATTTCAATGGCCATTTGTCATCGCTGCGGTTTCGCACCCAATAATTGGTGCAGACTTTCTGCAAAAATTTTCTCTGTTGGTCGACATTAAAAATCGACGCTTACTCGACTCCATCACACAATTGTCCGCGGTAGGTAGCATTGGAAATGCCACTAATTTTGGAATTAAATTAATTTCCGGTAATTCTCCTTTCCACAAACTACTTGAGCAATACCCTAACGTCATCCGCTCAGTAACTGGCAAACCGACTGCTGACCACGGTATTGTACACGTCATAGAGACTACTGGACCACCAATCTTTGCCAAAGCACGGCGGTTGCCTCCAGAGAAATTAAAGGCTGCAAAAGAAGAATTTAAATACATGCTTGAGCAAGGAATCTGTCGGCCATCTAAAAGTTCATGGGCCAGTCCACTCCACATGGTCCCTAAGAAAAACGGCGACTGGCGTCCTTGTGGGGATTATCGACGTCTTAATTCAGTTACTTTGCCTGATAGATATCCGGTTCCTCATATTCAGGACTGCATGCAAGTCTTGGAAGCAAAAATATTTTTTCTACGTTAGAACTCGTGCTTACCATCAGATCCCGTCTGATTTGGTATCCTTCGAAATGAATTTCTTATTCATATTCTTTGTCTTGATATTGGCATGTTCATCATTTCAGGACTGCATGCAAGTCTTGGAAGGCAAAAATATTTTTTCTACGTTAGATTTGACTCGTGCTTACCATCAGATCCCTGTCAATCCACCTGATATACCAAAAACTGCTGTAATAACACCTTTTGGATTATTCGAATTTCCTGTCATGACTTTCGGGTTATGTAACGCTGCGCAAACGTTTCAGCGCTTCATTAATGAAGTCCTTCGAGATTTAGATTTTTGTGTCCCATATTTCGATGACATTCTGGTAGCCTCGACAACTGAAAACCAGCACCTTGAACACCTTTGCATAGTCCTTGGCCGATTTCAGTCTTATGGTGTAGTCATTAATCCATCAAAATGTGTTTTCGGGAAATCTAAAGTGTCATTTCTTGGTCACGAAGTTTCTTCTTCGGAGGGCGTTCGCCCACTTAGTGACAGAGTCACTGCAATTCAAAATTTCCCAGAGCCAAAAAACTGTTCAGGAGCTGCGTCGTTTTCTGGCCATGTTAAATTTTTATCGTCGCTTTCTTCCTCATGCCGCTGAAAAGCAGGCACCTTTGCACACATATTTGGTTGGGAGTAAAAAGAAAGATACGCGGCCAATTATTTGGTCTGATGATGCCCGTACAGCCTTTGTACAATGTAAGAATGACTTAGCGTCGGCAACAGCTCTTAGCTATCCTTCTAAGCACCCTTTAGCATTAATGGTTGACGCGTCTAATACGGCCATGGGTGCGGTTTTGCAGCAACTGGTAGACGGAGCATGGAAGCCTCTGGCTTTCTTCTCGAAAAAATTTTCTGCAGCGCAATCAAAATACAGCACGTACGACCGCGAACTTCTTAGTGCGTATGAGGCTGTTAAACATTTTCGTCATATGGTAGAAGGTCGTGTGTTTTCTATCTATACCGACCACAAGCCGCTAATTTTCGCTTTTCGACAAAAGCCTGACAAGGCTTCTCCCAGGCAAATGCGTCATCTTGATTACATAGCGCAGTTTACAACCGATTTTAGGCATGTAGAAGGCCCTCAAAATACAGTTGCTGATGCTCTGTCCAGAATTGAAGAGGTTCAGTTGCCATCAACAACAGATTTCTCCGCCATTGCTGAATGTCAGAAACAGGACCCAGAATTGCAACATCTTTTGTCTGACAAGTCTTCTCATGGACTTAATTTAGTACCTATGCAGTTAGAACCAGATCTTTCACTGTACTGCGATGTGCAAGGTAATGTGTGGTGCGGCCATACATTCCACTGAAATTCCATGGCATGGTATTTTTAGCGGCCTTCCATAATTTATCCCATCCTGGCATCCGTGCTTCTCTCGCACGTTAATTCAACAGCATTTTGTCCTATCACTGGTTATTGCCATAATGGTTGTCGACAGATACACACGTTGGCCAGAGGCTATCCCTATTGTAGATATGTCAGCCGACACTGTGGCAAAAACCTTTTTTTCTGTATGGATTTCACGGTTTGGGGTACCCGAGTACGTTACCACGGACCAAGGACGGCAGTTCGAATCTCAATTATTTACTGCATTAACAAAATTCTTGGGAACTAAAAAGATCCGTACATCACCGTACCACCCGAATTCCAATGGACTTGTCGAGAGGTTCCATCGCTCTCTTAAACAGGCCATTAGATGCCATACTGCTATTCACTGGGTTGATGTCCTTCCTACTGTGTTGTTAGGACTCAGAACGGCTATCAAAGAGGACCTGGGTTCTTCAAGTGCTGAAATGGTTTATGGTACCAATTTACGTTTACCGGGAGATTTTATAAATCCCGCAAAAAACTCACCCAATGTCCAGCCCCATGCATTCCTCAAACAATTGCGTGAAACCATGGCTGCATTATACCCTAAGCCCACAAGCATACATTCTTCAAGACCTGTGTTTGTTCCTAAAGAACTCGCTACATCCTCACATGTGTTCTTACGGTGTGATGCATCAAAAAAGTCCTTGGAGCCTACCTATACAGGCCCACACCTAGTTCTAAGTCGCACATCCAAGAACTATCGGATACTAATCGGCGACAAAGAGACAGTGGTGAGCCTTGATCGTCTCAAACCAGCCTTTATCTTAGCACCACAAACTGTCGAGACTGGTACATCAGTCCCACCTCCTTCGAAGGCACCTTCATCTATTGGGTCTACACCAACATCTGCTACTACGTCAGTTCCTGTGCCTGGATCCCAGAAAACAAGTGCTCCTCAGTATACACGTTCCGGACGTAGAGTCCGATTTAACCCTCGGTACCTTTAATTCGTTGCCACTGAGGGGGAGTAGTGTGGCGACTGAGGGGGATTGTTCGTTCCACTGTGACTGTGTGTCGCCGAAATGACCTTCAGTTACAGTTAGTGATAACGGCGCACAGTTGGCAAGTACAACACATGTTTACAGAGTCGCCACACTTGTGTTGTACTCGCCAACCATGCACCGTTATCACTAACTGTAACCGAAGGAGATTTCGGCGACACACAGTCACGTCTCGTCGTCGGTTTGGTTGGTCGCTCGTTTTCCTCCAACGTGGTTATCTGTTGACTGTACTAATTAAGTTTTACTATTGTGATGTGATTAAATGTTTTTGTTATCTAAATATTGGCTCTTATGGCATGTTATGAATTCATCCTTAAAAGCACTGGCAAATTCCAATACTCATAGTTTGTTGTTGCACACAGCCGCAACCATGTGCAACAATGATTAATGCTTTTTATTCTGTTAGTATAAAATCTTTCACTTATCAAGTAGGCTGAAAAATTGCCAATTCTCAGAAGTGTTATGCAATGTAAGATTTTTAATTTCTCTTTCAAATTATAATAGTATATTGCTTAACCCCTTAACTGCCATGGGCACATATATACGCCTTGCTCAGCCGATGCATTAACTGCCCCACGCGTATATATACGTCCTTCCAAACTGCTATCATTTGCTTTGCGCTGCTACACCTAAAATTATTCACAAAGTTAACGCATCGGCTGCGCATCTGGGGCAGTTAACGCATCGGCTGAGCAAGGCGTATATATACGCCCGCTGCAGTTAAGGGGTTAACAAACTAGATGATTTAAATGCAGTGTACATACTTCTGAATAATATACAGCTGTATTTTATTTTTCAATAATATTTCTTACTAAACAAACTAGATGATTTAAATGCAGTGTACATACTTCTGAATAATATACAGCTGTATTTTATTTTTCAGTAATATTTCTTACTAAACAAACTAAATGATTTAAATGCAGTGTACATACTTCTGAATAATATACAGCTGTATTTTATTTTTCAGTAATATTTCTTACTGATGTAATTTAAAATATGTTTTAATTATCAGAAGATTTGCAATGTACCTAACTGATAAATTTTGTGCAAATTTGTACCATTATTGTAATTAATATTTGTATGCCTCTGGAATTGTACAGGTACAACTAATGATAAGTTTTCTAATAATGTATTTGTTAATTTTTATAAACATTGTCAGTGTTAATGTAATTAATAAAAAGTATGGCAAATACTGTATATTATATATGTATGCCGTCCAACTGGTATAGTGGTTAGTGACCCTGACTGCCGTAGCAATGGGCTAGTGTTCGAATCCTGGTTAAGACATGATTGTAACTGTCCATCCCTTTATAGGAGGCAATGGAGGCTACTTATTAAGTGCTTTCATAATGAAATGGCCACCACTTCCAGCCTTTGTAGTGGCACAAGGCTAATGGCTATTAAATAAAGTGCCTGGCCATTAATATGTATATATATCTAGCAAATTCTAGAAGGTACTGGTATAGGGGGAAAATCCTGAATTGCAGAAAGTTAATTAAAGGTTGCGTGTTCGCGAAGAGCAAAGCCATCATATTTTTTTATATTTTACATATAGATATATATACCAGAGTTTAGAATAATCTTTTGTTTGCCACAAAGTATTTAAGTTTGTTGCATTTTCTTTTAAAAATCAAACTTTATTTATTAATCATTTTTGTGTTTATTTTTGAAAACATTATTTATAAATATACAGTTTATGAGAATGGAGACTTCATGCAATAAATGGAACATTTTTACTTAAACTAAAATACCATATCACAAAAAAATGTAATATTCATTTCTATGTAATTAAGTACTTAAAATATTAAAATGTATTAGTTCTTTTAGTTAATAAAAATCACATTCATTTTTATTAAACCGGAATTTTTATTATATGTCATTTTGGGGGATTTCAAGTTAAATTTAATATTAAAGAAACTGATATTTTAGTTTTAAGTTATATATGATAATATTATTTATTAAATCAGCACTGAATGGTACTACATTAATGACTGTCACAAGAAATATTTTCTTATTTTAGGTTCAGGCAATTTTAGTTAATATTTTTGGTGGTATTATGAGATGTGATATAATTGCTGAGGGTATAATTGCAGCTGCTGAGATGTTAAATTTAAAGATTCCTATTGTTTGCAGATTGCAAGGTAAGTGTTTATATGAACATTGATTTCTTTAATTTTCCTTCTTACAGATTTTGCAAAATTATAATAACTACTGTTATTTCTAATGTGTATAATATTATGTTATTTAATGTATAGAAAACTATGTCAAATATTTTAATTTTGAATATACAAATATTACCTTGTCTCATTAAATTGATTTAGAAGCAGTTTTTTTTTAATTGTAGAAATTATTATTCTTCATGTATAAAAAATATGTAATATACTTTGGTTTTATCACTTTGGACTTAATCAGTTATACTTTTTTTAATACTGCATGCAGGCATATTTTGCATACATAATTGAGTTTTTTTCTGTCTTGCATGTAATGCTTACTGTTTTGTAATTAGGTGTGGTGTATTTAATTATGGCAAACTAGGGCTAATTATGGCATATTAGCACACTAGGGCTATCTGCCTAAGGGGAGGGATGCCTTTCGTGGAGGACTTTCTAAGGGAAACCACGAAAACGCCCATGCAGCCAGCCCATTCGCGGGATTCGAACCTTGGACCGAACTACCAGTGTTCAGCGACTTTACCGCTCGGCCGCTGGTGGGCCTATGTTTTGTAGTTAGGGCATCACTTGTTTCGTAGTGATTCTTGAAACTCTTCAAAACACTGTGTTAACTTAACTAAGAATTAAAGAGTTAAAGAGTAGCTTTTGAAAAATAGAAAAATCATCAACATTTCTAATAAAAATATATACTTATTTGCATTACTTTCTCAATTATCAACTTTTTTTAATAAATATAGGTTCACCAGAAAGGCAATTTTTTACTTTACACTGTGTATAAATTTGAAATAGATAAATCAATAATTTGTATTTTTAAATTGCAATAATGCTCAAATATTACTTAAGATGCATGTCTCTTAACTGGGTTAAGCTAAATAAAAAGCAAAATAACTGACTTTTAAAAAATGAAGAAACTAACTTTAAACAAATTAATTATTAACTCACCTAAAAGGTTATTTAGTGAATTAAAGTGTGTAACTGAATTTGGAATAACATTTTAATGAATTAAATTAATTTGACTATATAACATTATGCAACCTGATTATTGTGTTATGTTTGTTTTTTAATAAATATAAATGTGTCGATAACAGTAGATGTAATGAATTTTTACTTCTAAAATTGAGTTATTATATGATTTTCTTTTACTGCTTCAATTGTAGGCTACCAAGTATAAATTATGTGTATTGCTATAAAGTGAAAAACCAGACACATATCTTTGTACATTTAAGCCTAACTTTAGGTAGTATGAAAGTAAAAAAGCAAAATTATTCATGCTATTATTTCTATTTTATAGGCACCCAAGTAGATGATGCCAAAGCCTTAATTGCTGCCAGCAAGTTAAGGATTTTAGCATGTGAAAATCTAGATGAAGCAGCAAAAATGGTAAAATGGTAATTCTTTATAGGAAAGACACATGCCAGAGTAAAATATAAAATTAAGGGGAGAAAACGAAATTAGATAATTAGCATAGATTTGGTATAAAATTCTCAATTTCAGGACCAGTTTCCACCCCTTTTTTTTTAAGTAGTCATTTACAATCTGTCAGTCAGCCTTTTTAAATTGATAAGATTTTATATAAATATATATTTAAATGCCTAGTATCTTAGTAGTGAAAAAATATTCAGGCAAGACCTGTGCCATGTAAAAGTTTGCAGTAATTACAGACAGTACTATTTGTAATTTTGAAAGTCTAGAAAAATAATTTCCATTATGATTCTAATGAATTAGGATATTTTACATGTGGAGTGTCAGAGCCTGATGAGTAGGACATATAGTTTTCTGGAGTTGTTCAGGCATTTAACCCTCTGATGGTTATGAACGAGTTCAGCTCACAATCGAATCGTGCTTCATAATGCGCGCAAACGAGTTCCGCTCGGGAGCAAGATTTCGACCGAAGTGGTTAGTAACGAGCACTACTCGCATAGTGAAATTTTTCCCCAATGCGCACTGATGAGCTGACTTCGTTCGCCATTATTATTCTGCACTGATTGTGTTTCAAACGAATTGTTAAATGAATTTAGTTAGTTTTACTGTCTACAGATGGCAGTACGAGTTCCATGAATTTCTTTGCATAATGAAGGTGGATTTTTTTTTTGACCTTGTTCATTTTATACGTATGTTGGCGCGGTTTTTAGGGTGTTTGTACAGTAGAATGGCTCAAAAGCGAAAGTTAGATAGTTATGATGATGATTATGATACAGAAAGCTTATCAAGTTTTGAATCTGATGAAGAACTTTGTTCACAGTATTTCAAGCTCAGAAGACGATTCAAGCGATGAGGAAGATTTTTCGAGTGTTCGACAGTGGTGTATAATTGATTCAAGTTCTCACGCTCCTAGCCAATTTAGTTTTACTGGTGATGTAGGCATGAAAGCTTGCGTGACAAATATTTCTGATCCACTAGAGTATTTTGAGCTGTTTTTTACTGATGAGATTATAAATCATATTGTTACGGAAACCAACATTTTTGCTGCTGAAAAATTTAAATAAATTAAGAGCAAAGAACATTCCAGAACTCATCATTGGAGTGAAAACTAATTCAAATAAATTGAGAGTATTTTTTGCAATATTAATTTTGCAAGGAATAATTATGAAACCAACTGTAAGAATGTATTGGTCAAAAAGAAAGTTAATTGAAACTCCTAGTTTTTCTAACATCATGAGTTTGAGAAGGTTTGACCTTATTATGCAATTTATTCATTTTGATAGGAATGAAAGCACTGATTCTTCTCATCCTCAGCCAAAACTAAAAAAAATATGGACCATTTTAAATTACTTATTCAGGTGTATAAAATTTTTGGAAGTTTATACACCTGAACAAGACATATGTATTGATGAAAGTCTATTGCTGTATAAAGGGATTTTCTGGACCCAATACTTACCTCTTAAAAGGGCAGATTTTTCAAATGTTTAGGTTTGGATAATGGATATGTGTGGTCTATTATAATTTATGTTCGGATAAAGGCACACAGATATATCTGAAAAAAATAAAAGAATGTTTGTTTTCTAATCAGGTAGTTTTTCACATTGTCTAAGCCGCTATTAAACAAAGAATACTGCCTTACTATGGATAATTACTACAACTCTACCGAGTTAGGGGAAATGCTATTGAAATCTAAAACTGATTTTTTTGGAACATTAAGACCTAACGGAAAAGATCTACCAAAGGAACTGAAACAAAAAAGCTTAAAAATAGAGACTTACTTGCCTATCAAAGAGGTAAGATGATGATCATGCGATGGAAAGACAAAAAATATGTTAATTTTATAAGCTCAATTCATAATCCTGAAATCGTAAAAGTTCCAAATAAATTGAAAAATGTGGAAATAGAGGAAGATTGCCTTAGATTATAATAATACGATGGGCAGTGTAGATCGCATTGATCAGCAAATTAGATACTATCACGTAACTCGATCTTGTCAAAGGAAATATTTCAAGCTATTTTTATTGATTGGACATAACAATTTTTAATGCTTTTCAAGCTGTGGAAAAAAAAAGGGGGAATAGAAAATCAATTTTGAAATTCAGAACTGAACTAGCTGAAAGAATTGTTGAAAAATATCACACTCATAGACATTTGAAATTAAAACCTGCTGAAACAGTTTCGAATACTTTAAGATTGTCAGCACGCCACTTTCCTATTATATTCCACCTACAGAAAAAAAAAAAAAGAACCTACTAGACGATGTGTGGTATGTTGCCAACAAAAATGATGCTAATGGAAAAAGAATTCGCCGTGAAACACATGCGTATTGCAAAGACTGTAATGCCCATATGGCAATTCCTGTTTTTAAAGTATATCCCACAAAAAGATTTTTAGGTAATTACGTATTTATACTGTGCTCATAAAGTTACATTAGTTGATTTATTTAGTCCTTTCAATTTAATATTTGTCTTATATTATAATTACTATTTTATTTATATAATGGTTATAATCATTTATAATGTACTGTTTAATATTATTTTAAGTACGTAAAAACTGTTATTTATTACTACAAATACTTTAAGAAATTTTAAAACGCGCGAGGCGAGCTATCTACGGCATCGCCAGAGAAAGGTGACATTTTCGGAGAACGGGGGGGGAAAACAGCTGCCACTTTCGACTACTGTTTACTCCTAATGCTGTGCGAATTAAGTAAACAGAAACTGCTCATTTCCATAACCGTCAAAGGGTTAACACATTCCTTGATCCACAGTATGCTGAGAATATATCATAGAATGCATCACTACCCATTATGGACACCACAATAACCTTAACAATTAGGCAAAAGATAAACAGCCTGGTGTGGGCTTTGAATAAAATTGTTATTGATTTTGAGGACAATCAGACATAAGTCCCTCTTCTTACTGAAGTGATCAGCTAAATGTTTAAAAAGCATTTAAAAAAAGCTCTAAGCATTTTAAAAAAGATATGTTTATTCCAATTTTCAATCTGTAGAGGAATTTCATTTCTATAAAGAAAGGTGAAAAACAAAAATAGCTTCAAAGTTTGTTCTGTACAATACTTAAAGAAAAATATGGCTTTGAAAGAGCAAATAGGTTTATAGGATAGGAAAGAACAGATTGGTTTTGCAGAAGTTATGAAGAAGTGCACAAAGATAAAAGTATATCAGAATACTGGCATATTTAAAACCTTTTGCATTAGTTGCAGCATAGTGCAAACCTTGATTTTCAAAATGAGGCAGAGATAGACAGAGAAGTAAGGTGTAATGACCTATTGGTTACAAATGATAATAAACCTTGTCTGCTGAATCTTTGAGCATCAGTTTAATACAATGTTAGTGTCACATTTCTAACTCTTCTGACATCTTTTTATTTTAGAAAATGCAACAATGATACTTTTGTTATTTCTATATATTTGGCATTTTAATTATCTTATCATTCCTCCTTTTAGTAACATTGGATTTTATGTATATTTTCAATCTACTTAATAAGTTATTTGAAAAGCTTGGGAATGCCAAAATGTTTTATATCATCAATTTAATACTACACTCAAATCCTTATTAACCAGGTGTGGATAATCTTTGTGTCACTTATAATTAAATTTATTAATTAAATAAAACTAAATTATATAAAGTAAGAGAGAAATTAAAATGGCAAAATAGAAGCTGTATAGCTTTAATTGCCTTTTGATGGATGTTATAACGTATTTGTGATATTTTGCTGCTCGGCTTATGATTTTATTAATCTTAAGAAAGTTGTAATTTATGTGATCATCAGTCTTATTGTTTCAGAAATCATGAAAACAATCAACAGAAGTAGAATGATTTTGTGGGAACAAAAGAAATAAGAGCATTTCCGTGGTGTTTCTTTTTTTCAGCAGACAATGTTAGGGATAGGCGTGTCAAGTTAGATTATTTTCTTGTAGGAGTCTTTTGCTGATTTTAATTCTCATTACTGTTTGATACTTTGTATTTCATCAGAAAGTTTTTAATCTGTGAGTATTTGCCTTAACTTTATTGAAGTGCTGTATTTAAAATATTTTTGCATGTGTATTTAATTATGTGTAAGAATGAGTGAATTTAATCAGCCAGTTAGATTAGGAAAGATTAACTTAAGACTTATGCAAAAATTGTTACAGTTGTTAAGAGAAAGAATTTATAAATTGGCCACAGGAATTGATATTGTCTTTCAAACTGTACACAAACTTCAAAAAATGGGGGGGACCTAATGAAATTTGCTTGTGACTGTCACATTTAAGCTCTATCAGAAAAAAAAAAAAAAAAACTTCTTTGTATAAAAATATTGATGCCTGCTTGATTCAATTAATCAATGAGCAAAAGCCGTTCCTATCTCAAGCCCAATTTGCATGGGAAAAAAACTTTTTTTTAAAACAATTCTTTAAGAATTCATGGGTTCATTTAATAAACTTTTTTAAAATCATTTAAATCTAGGATTCAAATGCTTGTTCAAACTAAAAAAGTCTTCAAAACTTGCAAACTAGATCTTGCCTATTTTTTTGTTTTTTATTATATGTGTAATTTTTTTTTAATTTAAATTTTTGTTTATTGTTTTTAGGTGGTGAAATTATCAACAATAGTTGGTTTAGCTCGTTCTGCATCAGTGGATGTTAAGTTTGAACTTCCCTTATAGTCTCATCCTGTACTTTTGTATATATGATTTATAAAAACTGGAAAGTGATAAAAATGAAAGCTTTATAATGTACGATAAACAGATGCTTTATTATGTAAAACAAGATAATAGCTTTAATGTGCTTCTAGGGGCATTAAAACTTATTTATTCTAATTTATTCTGTAACAGAAATGTATAATGAACAAAAAGTCCTTTTCATTGTAGCCATAAATTCTACATTTTCTTTGGCTTGTTTATATACCAGAGGTTCCACTTTATTATAAATATCTTGTACATTGTTAAAAATTTGGTTTTGTATTGACATTAAACATTTCATGTAATAATAAGTTATTCTGTATTTCAGCTGCTTTCCTGTTTCACACAGATCTTGCAACTACACAATGCACAAATCAAACTATACACTGCAATCAATTTTCGGTTTATAAACAGGAAAATCTGTAAAGGCACTTAAGAGTATTATATGTAGTCAGTATTGGTTATTCTAAACTTTTAACTGGAAGTTCTTATTTTATTGTAGGCAGCATAATAAAAATCAAATTGCTACAGAAAATTTTATCAATAATTGCCAAATGCCAGTTTTTAAATTTTTCAGATTTTCACTATTCTGATATTTAGAATGCATTAGGAAATTACAGTAGGCGCTGCTTAATGTGATCACATTAGCCCATGATTATTTTGATGGCATTAAGAGATGATGAAAATATCCTTTAAAATATCATTGGAATTTAAGTAATTTAATATAACTAGAAATATGTAAATACTTTAATGGCATTCTGATATGGGAGATGTCATGTCATTAATGTCATTAATAGTTGATTATCTGGAACTGCTGCACAAAAGTTCATAATGTTTCTGGAAATTACTTCATCATTGATACTGTGCCGCTCATCTTAAGACTCTTAGGGCATCCTTCATCTCAGCATTTGTAGGAAAGTTATCAGTATCATCATCTTCAGAAAGTTTATCATATGATATACTTTGATATGTTTTAGGAAGTGACTGATAGATATCTTCTGTTACTGATGCTGCAACTTGAGTTTTTTTCATCAGTACTCATCAAAGAAGTCAATTCACATTAGTTGGAAAAATTGTTTTTAGTTCTTTAACTTGATCTTCTTCATAGCTTGCTTAAAGTAGTTCTTTGTCTTTTCTGAGACCTGACTCAAGACATGTTGCGTAAAAACAGCATATCAAGAAAGCTAGTTTTCCTTGTTGATTCACTGATTTTTGTGCTTATAATCTAAATCATCTGTATTTTCAAGTAATCTAACACTTATCTCATGGTAAAACTGATTTTCATTGATCTAATAATCTCTTGAGTACGTGGCTGTGGTGTTTGTTGCCAAATATGCAACTTTGTTTAAGAGCAATATTTATGTTACACACTGTGCTGTTGTCGGCAAGAGCGATATGATTCAGTTCATTATCCCATTTCATTAAAAATTAATGAAGTCATCCACACCTTTGTGTTATACTTGTAGTCCACTGGTAAACTTTTTGTGCCTTTAAAGTGTTGGGGAATTTTATTTTCTCTGATTACTAATAGTTTTCTTTTGCCACACATAGAGATGCAGCATAAAATGGTCATATGATCTTTTGATATTTTATGTTCTTTTCAATTTCCAGCTTTAAATAAATATTGTTATATCTGCATGGGTTCGTAATGGATTGAATGGATACAGAATCCACGATAGCTTGATAAAATTTATTTTCCGAAAAGAAAACTTAACTGTAAATTTCAATAAAGGTATTTATACAGCTTTTCTCAGTAGGAAAGAGAACAATCAATAGTTATCATTTTAAACAACTAATAATGTTAAACATAACTCAATGCAAAGCACACCCAAAGAGCAAAGTTTGCGTGGAGATCTCTCAGTTCTCTGAACTAAAAGCTGATAATTAAACTGTCTCCCGTTTTACATAGTTTTCTTCTGGCCGCCAAAGGCATCATTTGCTTGGAGAACTGTGATGGAGAACAATTGGGAAGACTAGAGGCAAGACAAAGTCAAACAGAAGTGGCTAGATGGCTAAATGCGAGTCCTTCTGTGGTTCATAGACTTTCATAGATGTGGAACATTTGAGTCAATTCCAAACCACAGATTAGGCATCTAGGAGGTTCAGCCAAGGACGGCCAACTGCTACGATGAGCACCGATATTTGACATTATGTGTTTGCAGGAGTAGAACTGCTACTCCGACTCTTCTTAGATCCTCCCTTGCTGCAGCCACCGGAAGGTTCATGTCAAAGTCAACTGTGCGTAGAAGGCTTCACGAAGGTGGTCTGTATGTGAGGTGACCAGCCATTTGTGTGCCACTCGCATCACGCCATAGGAGGGATTGTTTTTAGTGGGCATGACAACATGTTCACTGGACGCCTGATCAATGGAGCATGGTTCTCTTTACGGATGAGTCCAGGTTTAGTCTAGAAAGCGATAGTGGGCATTATTTGATATGGAGAGAACCCGTTATCATCCATTAAAGAGATGCATACGGAAAGTGCGTGCCTTGGGGGCATCTCTTTAGGTGGGTGCACCGCCCTGTTTTCCAAGGGGAACGTGTGCTCAGATTATAGAGATGACATCCTTGATTTTTGTCACCCTATGCCGGGGCAATAGGTGATGCTTTCCTGTTACAGGACGACAATGCAAGACCACTCAGGGCTCGCATCGTTAGATGATTATCTTCAACAGGAAACAATTATGCACATGGAGTGGCAAGCTCGATCCCTGGACTTGAATCCTATCAAACACGTTTGGGATGCTTTAGGGAGATGTCTAGCTGCTCTCAATCCGCCCCCTCAGATCCTTGTTGCGCTTGCAACTGCTTTGCAAGAGCAATGGCTCTCGCTTTCTATGAAACTGATAGACCACATAATTGAAAGCATCACACATCGCTGCATTGCTTCTAGAGGCGATCATATTCCATATTGAAGGTACTTTCGCTATAGCAAACTGACACTTTGATTTGTTCATTTGAACTGTGCTCACATAATTGTCAGGTAATTTATTTTTATTATTTGATACCTTACTATTGTTGTATATTGTGGGTAAGTTTCATAAAATTCTACATGTAACTTTCAGTAATCGTGATTTTTCCTTTATTTTGATACTATTTATCAGGATGTGAACATTTGATTTCTCGTGCCCTACATTTGTGGCCCTAGATTATGCTTACAGAACGTTTGAAAATGTTCGGAGTGACTTGGCCATGAACTTATCTGTTTCGTAAGTCAGATGCTGTTCTCTGCTTTTGTTCGCTTTATTATGCATGTAATTTTTAATGTTTATTTATACATGTAACCTTTAATTTAGTTAACTTACTTCTGAAGCCCCGTTTGAATAGTGGTGCACGGGGTAGGTCGGTATGTTCTCAAGGGAAAAAAAAAAAAAAATTTTTTTTTAAAGTTTTACAAAATATGAAATAGATAATAAAACAAATTCCAAATTTGGGCTTCCAGATGCCCATATTCAGGTGGAAACAAACGTTATTCAAAATTTAATGGCTCTAGGTACCGTTGTTTTATCACAATGTGAGAAATATACATTTATGCAGATTCTTCATTATTTGATTTCTTTAAATGTAATACAGGGCTCTAATATTTGTGGCAACAATTTGAAAAGTGAATAAACGCAAAATGCCCCTTTGGACTAAAAAAATTATAAAGCAATTGCACTTGTTGATCAGTGTTTATTAACTAAAAAAGTATAAAGATACATTTAGTTCTGGATTAACTTTTAAAACTTAAAATGTGGTCATCATATGTCAAAAAGAATGACACGCAACATTTTTCAAAACTAAAGTTTTCTAATTCAAAAATGAATTGAATTTAGATGACTGTGTTAAAAATTATACAATGGAGTGCCCTTTACTACTGAATAGATCAATAATAGAATATTTTCAGGAACAAACTAAGTATGACTGCATAAAAAAAAATCTGTTTGAGTGCTATGATAAACCAGAACTGCCAATGAAAGAAAGGGAACAATCAATACATCTGATTCGACATTAAAATCTAAATTTAAGAAAGAACAACTCTTAAATTTTTGGTTGTAAATTCATGCAGTATACCTAGAAGTTTCTCACACTGCTAAAAACAATTTAATGCCATTCAAAAAAAAAAATACGGTTACATGCGTACGGGTTCGTAATAGAATGAATGCACAAGTCCGATAAAAAGTTAATAAAATGTATTTTTATCACAAGAAATATAACCATGTGCTAGGTTTTTCTCAATGTTATTTGTTTAATATCGCACAATAGTTACATTTTAAACTACTAAAACGTTAAATAAAATGCAATCCAAAGTGCAGAGAAAGCTAATCCTATCTCAAAATTACAGCAGCTAAGTAAACAACTGAACTGAGATGTTTCTCTCCGGTCTTTTTAAAGCTTTTTAATTAGTCACGGGAAGGTTCTGGTAATTTCTGTTTTCTCGAGGTTTCTGGAAAGCAAAAGAATAGAATTGCGAGATACCTAATTATTAAATGTTAAATGCATGTGCTCCTGTATGATTAGTTTTCCGGCATAGCTTTCTTTTAAAATAAGTATTGTGCTGCATTCCACAGGAATATAAAACAATTTTAATTACAATTCTACTAAAAATAGCAAACTAAATACAAATTCCGTAACAGTATTTTAGTGAAAAATTTTCTCAATGTACGTGGCAGCAAAAACAAGATATAGAAACAAATTAAATGGAGAATGTAAATGCAAGTGCAAATAATGTCAATAGAGCTAGACGTTGACAGTTTGTGTAAAAAACATGTAGGCAAAACTCTGTCACTAAATATAATGCAACAGTAGAATTCCACCTGGAGCATGAGTTAATGCCATTAATAAATTACATTAATACGTTAAAAGTTTTTAATAACATTTTTATTGTAAACCTCTTTACCACAGGTACCTATAACATATTCATGTTCCTTAAATATTATTTTAAGTGGTATGTATAAATGGTATGTACTTTGGTATTACTACATGCACAATGTAGTTAAAAATTTGAAATTACTCTTTCAGAAAAGAGTGCATCATGATCAAATTTTCAAAAGCATAATGCAATTTCTATATCTCCTTATTATAGCACATTTAATGTACCAAATCCTATGTGCATAGGCCTTTGTTGGCCATGGAGATGCTATAGTAACATTAAAAAATTATTATGAATGAAATGAAAGATTAATAGCATGGAATAACAAAACCTTTATCTGACTGATAGAGCTAATAAACAGTAGTTTTTTCAATCTCTAGTTAACATTCTATTTAGCACTAAATTTAAGTAACTGCTATATTTGGTTTTATTTGATTTAAGGAACAAAATGAATCTTTATTAAA